CCAGGACAGTTAAAGTGGACTCAATTTGCACTATTTCTACCAGTCTGCGAAGGCTGAAAGTGTGCTAGATGTAAGAATAAGGGCTGATGCAGACTGGCCAAAAGGGCCAGCCTGGGGGTGGAGTTGGGGCAGGGTAGCTGTCCGCCATCCACCCTGACTCTGTTCTGACTTCACGCACCTGTCTGCATAGCACATAGCATCAGGGTGCCCTCTTGGTGCAGCGTATACACACTCTGTGCCAAAAGGACTCAAAAGAGCTGCTGTCATGGCTCAAAGAGCAGCCTTTTGCCACCCTAAAGAGGAGCGGCATTTTGCCGCTCTTTTGGGGGAGGAAAAAAAGAGGATTGGGGTCGCAGTGTGTGGTTGCCGCAATGTGTGGTTGCCAGACAGGCCATCTGTTTGTATTCATACTAGAGGAGTACACTAGACTATTGTGAACTGGTTAATTTAAAAAATAAATAAAACCTTATGTCTTTTGTTTCAGGAAATCCATCAAAATAATCCAAAGCCTGGGCTTGGTTTGCACTGGCCAGGATAGTCTAGTGGCATCCCAGAGTATCCTGCCTCCACAACTGCCCAGCCTGTAACAGTTACCTGGACTCCATTTCTGCACTGTGATGCCTATTTCCATGGGCATCCTACTGGGCCACCTGTCACATCTGTCACCACCATGGCTCACTCACATTTGAGGTCAGAACATGATATTCAGTGATGGTCACATGCTGACATCAGAAAGAGTGACCCATGGCAACTCAACAGTACATGCATGTGAACACATGCATGCATATATATACACATATGCTTTTTTTACCCCTGATTTTGGATGCAGGTTTTGGTTTTGGATTTTGGATGCAAGTTTGAGATTAAGTGGGGAATTTGCCAGTTCTCCACAGGCCAATGTAGGAAGCATTGATCTATGAGTTCACAAGAGAAGTCAGACATGTTTTAACCACAAAAAAATGGCTAAATCATAAATATATTTATGGTTTAGCATGTCATAGTCCTCTGTTTGTCCCAAGTATTCTAAAAGAAAGGAAACTCTGAAGTTCTCTTTGAAAACAGCACACCTTCATCATATCTGGATCTAGCTGCTTTTGAAAATGTCTCCTTCCATTTTCCAACTGCTGCTGCTGCTCTGTGTACTAGGGAAGAAGACTAGACATACATACCTCTATCACTTCTTAATTTCTTCATCTCTCTCTCCCCCCTCATTCCTTTCCTTCAGTGTGTCTTATTTAGGATATTATCCAGTATTTCTCATTTGAAAACCTGAACAAATGTGGCTAAGCATTGTCAAAGTGTAGTCAGAAGGATGTGACAAGTCATTAAGAGGGCACAAATTATTAATGAAGAATATATAAAACTACTATTTTGTTTGAGAGGGACGACTGTCAATGAGGCTGGAGGAGAAAGAGAAGTACCACATCTGGAGCTGGCCACCCTAACAACAACAACAACAACAACAACAATAATATTTATAGGCTGCCTCTCCCCGAAGGATCAAGGTGGATAACAATCATAAAATATCACAATGACATAAATTAAACATATTTCCCTGACCTTCAATTAAAACAGAAAACATCATAAAATATAATCAATTTTATGCCTCCATCCAATTTGCCTGCCTCCACTGATGAAGCTTACCTACCAAGTCACTGCAACCACCTACCTGCTCTATGCACAGACATATCCTGCCAACATG